GGCGGACACAACATCTTTGTTGGTATGTGGTGCTGAGGATCGAACCCAGGCTGCACGCATGCCAGGCGAGCGTGCCACCGCTTGAGCCACATCCCCAGCCCTGTGTCGCCTTTTCTTTCCCAGCTCAGAACCAACCAGAGGAGCGCATCCGTTCCCGGGCCGAGGACATAAGATGCTTCTGTTGACCTGCCCCAGCTTCCCATGCCCACCACCTCCGGGCAGAGCGCTCCGAGCCTCCCTCCAGCCAGCACGAAGCTTCCCTCTCCACCACCTGCCCTAGAGTCTCTGCCAAGCGCAGATCACGGCGGCCAAGCCCTGCCCCTGCCAGCTCTGATGGACGGTGTGTCTGCTCATCTCCCTGTGGGGAAGTTGTAGAGGCTGGTGTGGCCGCAGCCAGGGGCCACAAGATGATCTGAGCAGGTGATGGAGACTAGGGAAGGGAGGGCTGGCACCCCCAAGAGTGTGGAAGGAGCCAGTGCCCCATGGCACTACCGGTGGTGGTCACGGTGATCATGAGGCCAATCTCTTTGAAAGATGACCTGGGAGCATCTGTTAACATGCTTATCCCACCGACCCCGCCAACTCAATGTCCCTGTCGCAGGAAGGTACCCTGTGCAGAGACCGGCAGGTGTGTGCGACCTCGCACTATCTCTGGTTACAGAAAATTGGCAAAAACCTAATTTTCCATTTGCAGAGGACGTGGTCAAGACATATTATTTATTTACTTTTATGTGGTGCTGGGGATCAAACCCAATGCCTCACACATGCAAGGTGCATGCTCTACCACTGAGCCACAGCCCCAGTCCCCCAAGATATATATATTTTTTTCTTTAATTTTTATTTTTTGCCATGCTGGGGATTGAACCCATGGCCTTGTGCATGTGAGACAAGCCCTCTATCAGCTGAGCTCTGTCCCCAGCTCATAAGATATATTTTTAAGTGAATACAAGCAAGATTCATAAAAGCATTTGCTGTATGATATAATTCTAAAAAAAAAAAGATATAAACATAAGATTAGCTACTTGCTGGATGCCATCTGTCAAGATGGCTGACTATGGCAGGTAGGACTGGGGGCTGGGTGGAGGAGGGGAACATACACACTTGTCATTATTCATTTTTGGGTGCCTCAACTTTTATTATATGCATTTATTACTTTAGTGATTAAAAAAAAAAGTGTATGAAGACTGTCATTGTGCTCCCCTGTTCCAGAAAAACTTGATCCCAGGAGGTGACGACCAGGGCCCAAGATGCCATGAGAATGAAGATTCAGATACATCCAGGGTCGCAGAGTGCCATTTACTGGGGACTCAGTTGAATTCCTGCAATTTGGGTCAGAAAGAGAAGTTAGAATAGAAAGGATTTCACCCTGCCTAGAAGATACCCAGTTTACTCCAAGCTAACACCAAGGCAAGGAATCGGGCCCTTCCCTGAGCCAAGGTTGCTTGTAGAGCTCTGCATACCCTCTAATGTTTTGTCCACTTATAGTTTTCTGGGAAACCAGGCTGCAGGAACCAGCTAAGGATCCTCCGGGCAAACATGGTGGTTATGACCGAAGACGGCTGCTGTCATGAGAGGTGGAATCCGTCTATGCGCACACCCCTTTCCATTGGGCTGAACCAGTTAGTGTGTTCCTGTGTCCTTGTAGCTGCCACCAGTGTCTGCATCCAGGCCTGAGGACTTGATCCCCAAGGCTACTTTGCCACGTTAGAAACACCAGGGAATGGGGTTGTATAACTACCCCAGCTCCCTCACCCCTCGGCTGATGCCACTCTGGGGCCTGTGCTTTACACCATCCTAATTGGTCCCGGACATCGAAGGACATACTCTTATTGGTTGCCTTCCTTCCCTACCCCAATTACATTACATATATCCTCCAGAACCTTGTCTTAAGGTCCACGTTTGGGAGGGTCTCCCACACCCTTAGCCAAACCTGTCAGATGACTCACAAAAAGTGAGTTCAAAGCTCCGTCAGCACACAGCTAGTGAATCAAAAGATACCATCAGAACCTAAGGGTGAGACAGGAAAGAGACCAAGGCAAAGGCACATTATCCAGAAAAGTTGCCCAGGGGACTGGGCTGCCCAGGCAGGTCCACGGATTTCCTCTTCTGCCCGGTAGGCAAGGGCCTGCAGGTTGGAGGGACCTTGGGCTTCATCAGCCAGTGGGCCCAGCAGAGAAGCGCTGAGCTGGGCTGGGCTGGGCCTCGGGCTCTGGAACCCCTGCCCAGGGGCTGTGGCAGCTGCTGAGCTGAGTTCCAGGACCTATTGCCTGTTCCTCCAGTGACAAGGGGCCTCCAAGTGACAGAAGGAACTGAAAGACAAAGGTGAGGCCACCGTGAAGCCAAATTCTTTGAGCTTCTCACAGCTTTCTCTCTCGCTCTCCTCCCCTCTCCCTGGATTTCTGTCCCCTCTCCCACCTGTCAGGGACACCTGGGGTCCCTCCAGCTATCAGGAGGACAGTGCTTGCAGTAGACGGCCAGGTGATGGGGGGGCAATGGGGGGGTCCCTGCCCTGCTTCTCCCCAGCCCTCTTCTCCTTTCCCCTTCCAACCTCCTCCTGGGAAACAGATGCTGCTGGAAGAACTTGCCAGAAAGTCCCGGGTGGCTGAGACGATGTTTCGCTGTCAGGGCTGCTGAGATTTTATCCCGACGCTCAAAATTATTGATTTCAAAGAATTCTGTGGCCTTGTTGTCCCTAGAGGTTGGACCTGGGCATCCAAGGGTCGTGGTCTAACTTCCCAGCAAGGGTGGCCCAGGAGTTGAGGGACTGTGGTTCCTGTCCCTCGGTTTCCTGCAGGGGAACCTGCTTGATAAGGCGGTCATGCCTTAGGGGGGGGACAGTCCCTTCCCCTCCCTGCTGAGCCCCTCCCTGATGCTATTTCCTGTGATCTCCTCCCAAATTAACTTTTGCCCCCAGACCTCATCTCAGTGTCCACTTCCTGGCGGGGAGCCCAGGGGCTGAGGGAGGGCTGGTCGGCCTGGGCTGCCAGGACAGGGGGCCACAGATGGCACACAGTTGTGGATTTTCTCACAGTTTTGGAGGTCTGAAGTCCAAGGTCAAGGCAGGGTTGGCTTGTGCAGAGGCCTCACTTTTCAGCTTGCGGATGACCCCCTCTCACTGTCCTCACATGGGCTTCTATCCTTGCGTACACACCTCTGGGCCTTTTCCTCCTCTTTGTAAGAGGACACCAGACCTGTTGGGTCAGAGTCCCTCCATTCGGACCTCACTGAACCTTCCTTACCTCTTTCAAGGCTCCGTCTCCTCCCGCAGTCTCGTTGTGGGTTAAAGCATCAATCTATGACGTTTGGAGGTGGGGGACACAATTCAGGCCATAACAGAAGGTTACTGGGCAGGACCAACTCAGCTAATGAAGGGAAGGCCAGCCAGGCCAACGAGGCCCTCAGAGACCAGTGCCCATGGCGACAGGAGAATGGCCGGCCTGATTCTAGAAGGGCACTGGGAAATCCAGACTTGGGAACCGCACCCGATGGGGGGTCCTAGGAGATCCACACAGAAGCATCCTGGTCCCAGCCAGCAACCCAGAGGGTATGGAGCAGGGGCTTGGGCCCTAAGGAAAGGGGCAGTGGGGAACAGAGGAGGAAGGACCTGGGGCCACCAGCCATAGCCCAGCATTGAGGACACTGTCAGGGCCTGACCTGGCCAGTGTCCTCAATCCCCTCAAATACCAAAGAGGAGTCTCAACAGATGCCACCAGTAGAAATGGCTCCCGGGGTGGGAGAGAGGTGCCCCCGTGTTTCACGAACAGGAGATCAGAATCACTAATCATAAATGGGGGACAGGGACTTAACTGTATGAAACTTTGGGACTTTTGTTCATTAGAAGATACCTGTCAGGGAATGGAAAGGCAGTTGGGAGATTTTCTCAATATACCCATCCTGGGCTGAACGAGGTCCCCCAGAATTCACTGTCCACCCGGAACCTCAGAATGTGACATTATGTGGAAGGGGTTCTTCGCAGAGCTCATTGTTTAGGCTGAGAGGAGGTCTTGACTTGGGCTCACAGGGCGCCTGGGATCCCGGGGACTGGACAGCTAAGGCAAACTCTAGAGCAGGGTGTCTGGAAGCGGTGCTGGATCCAAGGCCCAGGTTTGTACAGGTCAGAGATTTGTTTTCCAGGATTCCTTTAGTCATGCAGGTGGCCATGTGGTTGGTCTCAGCTGCTCGGGAGGCTGAGGCAGGAGGATCAAAAGTTTGAGGCCATCCTCAGCAAGTGAGTGAGACTTTCAACACCTTAACAAGACCCCCTGTCTCAAAATTAAAAAAAATAAAAAGGGCTGGGAATGCGGCTCAGTAGTAGAACAACCTGGGTTCAAACCCCAGCACCAACAAAACAAACCCAATTCCTTTAACCACATGATTTGTTTTGTTTAATTTAGCACATAGTTTGCCTTCCTCATCATTATTTCATCAAAATGTCACAGATCACTTCACAACAGGGATGAATCCAGTGAAACACAGAAACCCCAGTGGTGTAGGTTGGTCTCTCCGGGTGGCATCTTTCTTTTTATTTGGTACCAGAAATTGAACCCAGGGGCACCACTGAACCACACCCTCAGCCCTTTTTCTTTTTATTTAGACACAGGTCTCGCTGCGTTGCACAGGGCCTTGCTAAATTGTTGGGGCTGGCTTTGAACTCGCGATCCTCCTGCCTCAGCCTCCCCAGCGGCTGGGATCACAGGCGTGCGCCCCACACTGTGCTATGCTTTTGATACAACTGGCAGCTCCGTAGTAGGTTTGTCTATACCAGCATGGCCACAAACGTGTGGGTGATGCCTTGCGCTGTGGCGATTTGACAGCCATGATGGCATCAGCTGGTAGGAATTCTTCAACTGTATTGCAATTCTCGGGGACACTGTCACCTCTGTGGCCCCACCATCTACTGAAATATCATTCTGCTTCATCTCTGTGTGTAGAAAAGTGTGTGGATCAGAAAAGTTCAGCTCAGTGAATTTTCACAAGAGTACAAAGGTGAACCAGCCTCTGGCTCAGGAGACCAGCAAAGCCCCCCCCCCCGCCCCCAGAACTGCCTCTTGAGCCCGCATCTGGTCACTGACCCCCAAAGCACCATCACTATCCTGATTTCCATCATAATAGGTTAGTTTTGCTTGTTTGGCCCTTGATACCCACAGACACCCAAGATATTACTCTTTTGCATCGGGCTTCTTCTGAGGTAGGATGTGAGACACGTCCACACGACTGTGTGTCATCATAGTTCATTTTAATTGCTGTACAGCATTGTATTATGTAAACAAATGACTATTTTCCAATCTACTATTGATGGACATCTGGGCAGTTTCCAGTTTGGGGCTACTACAAATATTGCTGCATTGAAAAAAAAAATTATTGAGTGTTGCAGTCAATGTCCTTTGGTGAAGGGTTGGAGGTGTAGCTCAGTGCTCACCCAGCATGCATCTGGCCCCAGGTTGGATCCCCAGCATTGCAAAAAATCACAATTAAAAAAATCTTTTGGTGAACGTAGGCACATATTTCTGGTGGGCATATACATACTAAGGGTTAAATTTCTGGATTATCTAGTATGTGAAATTTTAGCTTTATGAAATACACAGCCATGCCCTGAATGAAGATGTTTTGATCAATGATGGATCACGTACATGATGGTGGTCTCCGTATGATTGTATTGCCTGGTGATGCCGAAGTCTTTGTTGGTTAAGTACCCTCTATGCTGTTCACAGGATGACAAAATTGACTAATGACAAATTTCTCAGAGTTGTTCTGTCACCCATTGATTGTGCCACTGTACTACCAATTACGTGACTTGGCTGTGAGTCACATCCCCGCTAACTTTTGGTGTTGTCCCTCTGTTTACTGTAGCCATTCTGACAGGCATGTGCACAGTGGCTTAAGTTTGCATTTCTCTCGTGGTTGATAAAATGAAGTCCCTTTTATTTGCAGTGTAGATTCCTTCTTTTGTGAAGTGTTCAAGACTCAGCCATTTTCTCAACACATTGCCTTCTTCTTGTTCATTTATGGTGCTCTTTATCTATTCTGAGAACAGAATCCCTTTGCAGATAGACGACATCATATTCATTTCCTAGAGCCGTGGTAACAAATTGGCATGAATTGGGTGGCACATAAAACAACAGAAACTTATTCTCTCATGGGTCCGGAGGCCTGAGTCTGAAGTTCAGGGCCGTGACCCCTCTGAAGGTGACAGGAAGACTCCTCCTCCGCCTCTTCCTTCCTCCTGGTGGCTCCTGGTAATCCTTAGCATTCCCAGCTCGCTGTTCCTGAGACTGGAGTAGATCCTTTGCTCCAGTCTCTGCTTCTGACTCCCCTGGCCTTCCCCTCTCTGTCTCTCTAATCTAGTGGCCTGATCTTTTTTTTCCGTTTCTGAGTACCAGGGATTGAACCCAAGGGTATTCGACCCCTGAGCCACACCCTCAGCATTATTTTGTATTTTATTTAGAGACAGGGTCTCACTGAGTTGCTTAGCGCCTCCCTGTTGCTGAGGCTGGTTTTGAACTCACAATCCTCCTGTCTCAGCCTCCCAAGCTGCTGGGATTTTAGGTGTGGGCCACCGTGCCTAGCTCTAGTGGCCTACTCTTAAGGACACTTATTGGATTTAAAGCCCACCCTAATTCTGATCTCTTAACTAGTTACATCTGCAAAGACCCTTTTTCCAAACGAGGTCCCATTCTAAGGTCCTGGGTAGATGTGCCTATGGGGAGAGGGGATTATTCAACCCAGCAGAGATGTATTAACAATTTTTTCTTCTACCCTGCAGATTACCTCTACTTCTTAACTGTATCTTCTAATGAGTAAAAGTTCCAAATTTTAATAGGGACCAGCTTGTCAACTTTTCCTCTTTATGGTTAGTGCTTAGCTGTTGGTGAAACATGGGTCCTCTGCATACACAGCTATCTATTCTCAATGGTATGCCAGAGGTGGCCGGTAGAGGTCCCACTCCCCAGAATTCCCAGTGGAGGTGAGCTTTGTCTACTCAGGGAAGTTTGATGATTCATCTTGCATTACCACCTTCTCTTCCCTGCCTGGATTTCCCCTTCCTTTACTGGTATCTTCTGGAACCACATCAAATCAAATCCCCTCCCCCACGCACATACAGATGCAATCACTTGCCCTGGAATCCTTGCCTCAGAAGAACCCAAACTAAAATCTGCCTCAACCCCAACCTCCTCATCTTCCAAAAGAGGAGAAAATATGCATCTTTGTGCAGAATTTGAATGCTGGGCACAGTGGCGCACGCCTCTAATCCCAGCAGTTTGGGAGATGGAGGCAGGAGGATCAAGAGTTCAAAGCCAGCCTCAGCAAAAGCGAGGCGCTAAGCAACTCAGTGAGACTTTGTCTTGAAATAAAATACAAAATAGGGCTGGGGATGTGGCTCAGTGGTCAAGTGCCCCTGAGTTCAATTCCCGGTACCCCCTCCAAAATATAAATAAAGAGAACTTGAAAGAACCCCATCATAGTCTCAGCCATCCTGGGTTAGGATGGGTTAGGTAGTAAGATCCCTGGCACTCGAAGCAGTCAAAACAATCTGAATAACTATAAGAGAGGAGTTTGAAAAGGGTTGAACTAAAAGAAATTAGTGGTCCCATCTCTCCATGGAAAATTCTATGATTCAATATATGGTCAGTACTCCCTTTCTTTCTTTCTTTCTTGGTGTTTTTGTTTTGTTTTGTTTTTTTGTGTGTGTGGTACTAGGGACTGAAACCAAAGGCACTTAACCCCTAAGCCACATCCCAGCCCTTTGTATTTTTTTTTTTATTTTGAGACAGGGTCTCACTAGGTTGCTTACAACCTCACTAAGGTTGGCTTTGAGCCTGTGATCCTCCTGCCTCAGCCTCCAGAATCTCTGGGATCCCGGACGTGTGCCACCGTGCCTGGCGTAAACTCAGGAGTTAAAGAGGCGTATTTTAGGGACATATTAAGGCATGGGAAACACTAGCTCCGGCCTGACAGTCCTGCTCTGCACCTGCCTCAGACTCTCCTGCACAGATGTCACCAACCTATCTAGAACATTCTTTCCCTGTTTTAGCTGGATTTGCCTAAAATACAGAACCATGGGTCACCCTAGAGGTCCAGGACAGAGCCGGGGACTATATAGTTGTAAAACCTCCAGGTGATTGGCATAATCTCTCAGTTGAGAGAGCCTCTAAGCTAGGTGCGAGGTCTCAAGTGGCCCCCACCAGCTCTGGCATGGCTACGGGTCAGGCACCGTGAGGGCCTGGGCCTGGAGGCCTGGAGGCCTGGACCATGGCTCTTGGTCATCCCTGGTTGGGCTGCTTTCTGCTGACATCTGAAACCAGTTAGGCCTCATCAAGAGATAAGCGAAGTTCAGAAGGCAAACAAAACCTCTCGAGAGCCAGAAATCTATCAGGAACAACCAATTGAGCTGTCGAGTGACTTGGGTCAGTTCACTGGAATATTTCTTCATTTCCTCCACTTCCGTTTTTCAATCCAGAAAGTGTTGACTCTACCAATGTCCCCGGGCCCAAGAGTCCTACTGGTGGCCAGAGCCCCTCTGCTCCTCCCAGGCAACCCTGGCCCCCCTTCCCTGGGCTGTGGATTATGAGTCCATTGCTCAGCCAAGAAAAGCCACTTCAGTTTCCAACCACAAAATTCTCTGGAATCCTCTTCAGGGACCGCTCAGCCTCCTAAAAGGGGGTCAGACAGGAGCAGTTCGGCAGACATCTGGGAAGGGCCCAGCTCCGAGGGCCATGAAGAGCTTTCCCCTGGTTCCTCCCATTCTCCTGGCCTTCCTCCTGAGCGTCCACACGTCTGTCCTACGTATGTAGCTGCCCCACCCTTCCCCAGGGGCTCCTTTCCAGAAAGGACAGAATCAAGTTTCCCTCCTGTTTTTAGGAGACAGTGACACGGAAAAGTCATGCTGTTTCCAGTACAGCCATAAGATGATCCCCTGGAACTGGGTGCAAGCCTACCAGTTCACCCAGATCAGCTGCCCCCAGCAGGGCGTGATGTGAGTATCTCCTGGGCGTGCTTTCAGGGTCCCTAGGCCGGCCACGTCACTGGATGGGGGTACCCAGCAGACACCCCCTCAGTGGCAGAATGAGAACCTGGGCTCCTGGGTTGGGTCCTGCCTCTGTGACAACATGCATGACTCGGAGCTCTGTTTGGAGCCTGCCATTCACACCGTGGGCCAGGCACTCGTGACCTGCAGACCCTGCAGGCTCATGAAAGAAAAGGGGCAAAGGTATTTGCACAAAAGAGTTGATCTCAGTCATGATGAGTAAAGAAGACAGAGAGAGAGAGGATGAAGGAGCTTGTCCCAGTCCCAGGAGGACCTGACTTGGCATCTGGAAGGTCTCCCTAAGGAAGGGACCCCAAGGATGAGTGGAAGGACATTCCAGAGAGGACCAAGGAGCATGGGAAGAGCCAGAGGCAGGGGGGAGGATGAACTGTCAGCCTGACAAGGGGGAGAGGCAGCCAGGAAGCGGGGTCAGGGTAACAAGGGAGCTGACACAGGATCAGGGCTCCTGGCAGGATTCAATAGGGTCACGTATGCAAGTCCTTCAGCACCGGGACTGGACACAGCACATGGTCAAGAAATGGAAGCTGCTCCAAGAGCAAACCCCAAGCGGGAACCAAGGCTCCTGATCAGCAGAAAATATGCAGCAGGGAGAGAAGAGGCTCCAGGGACAAACCTGAACGTCATCATTTTAGACAGAGTCGAGGTTAGAGACGAGGACACTGAGAGCCTGTACAAAGTTGGGGGAGCTCCAGGGCTCAGGAGGTCCCGGCTCTTCTCCTTCAGATCTCGAGGGGCTTTCTGGAACTTTAAAGACATCCACACTGAACCGACAGCTGGCAAAGTCCCTGAGCTGGGGTCAAAGCAGAACTCTGTCACAAGCTGGGGGACCTTGGACAAGACAAGATCCCTCCATTCTAAAATGAAGGGGACAGGGAGCTCAAAGTTGGAGACTTGGGGACATCAACCATGGCCCCCCATTTTTAATAAGCGCACAGTAAGGAATGCAGGAACCACATATAAACAGCTACAATGAGCAACTCAAGATGATGCAGATGAGAATTAAGTGGAGTGGTGGTGTGGGTCCATTTCCCGGGTGAGGAAAATATTCTCCCACTGATCTTGGTGTCAGCTGAATGAGCTATAAATATTCTAAAAGCCATCGAGTTGTGACTCACTTTCATTGGATGAGTGAAATAGCGTGTGAATTGTGTCTCGGGAAGGCTGTTGTAAATGGCAGGTACAAGACACAGGTTGCAGATTAGACCCGTGGGCAAGTGCTTCCTGGGGAGAGGGGCCTCTGAGCCTGGCTTCCTATGGGAACAAAGAGGAAGAAGAGCAGGGAGAAGAGGGTTAGGGACAGAGTGTGGCAGGCCTGTGGGAGGGTGGCAAGCTACCCAGGGAGCTGCCCGGCCCTCTCCCCCTCTCCCAAGGGAAGCCAAGGGCTCCCTAGTCACTTCTGTCTTTATTTCACAGATTCACCACCAAAATAGGTGAGAGAGTCTGCGTCCAACCGAAGGAAAAATGGGTGCAGAGATACATTTCTCTGTTGGAAGCTCGGAAATAATCGTGACTCTGCTGAGTTTCCGTCCAGGGATGCCTGGACCCTGCTCTTGGCCCTGTTCCCCTTGGGGGAGCTGGGGCAATCTCTGCAGAGGGCCTCCTGGCAGGGAGGGAAGCATGATTTCCACCAGAGTTTTTCTTCTTTTTTTTTTTAAATAAAGGTTTTTCATGAACACTTGACTTGTTGTTGATAAAATTATTAATGGATTAGAACTTGATTTTTTTTTTCCCCCTAGGAAACGAAACCAAGTCAGTATGTGTTAACCAGCTGCCTGGCAGGTCCCTAACCCCTGAACTGACCCTGTTATTGAATTTTACAGTTTTGTTGTTGTTTTTGTTGTTGTTGTTTCATAATTGCAAAAAAGACAAATTTATATACATTTTGGCAAAAGGCTTGGCATATGTTCTAACACTGTTGAGAAAGGTAAGTTAGGTTATTTGGAAAAGTAAACCCTGCCTAACATTTCACAGTCCATTCATGCTGGGTACCTGTTGCCTCACCGTACGGGAAATGTTTTTAGAAAACAATAACTGTCAGGTGCTGTGGTGCATGCCTGTAATCTCAGCAGCTCAGGAGGCTGAGGCAGGAGGATTGCAGGTTTGAGGCCAGCCTCAGCAATTTAGTGAGGCCCTAAGCAACTTAACAAGACCCTATCACAAAATTTAAAAAATAAATAAAGAGGGCTGGGCATGTAGCTCAGTGGTAAAGCACCCCTGGGTTGAATCCCCAGTACCCAAAACACAAACAAACAAAAAATCCCAGAAAGAAAAAGAGAAAACCAAATACTAATCAATGAACATGAATAGGTTCTACCTACTAACCCTAGGAGGTCAATGTCTTAACTAGCCCAAGTAAATTCTTTTTAAGAAATAATTGTAGAGTCACAGGGGTTGCAGCCTATGGAGAGGGATGGGCACGGTGGCGCCCACCTGGGGGAGGGGTGGAGCTGAGACAGGAAGATCACAAGCTGGAGACAGACCTGGGCAACTTAGACCCTCTCTCGAATAAATCAATAGGACTGGGGATGTGGCCCAGTGATAGAGTGCTTGCCTAGCATGTGTGAGGCCCTGGGTTCCATCTCCAACAACACAAAGATAATAATAATTATAATAATAACATGGGAGATCAGGTGCACCCTTCCTCAGTCTCCCCCCATGGTTACATCTTACATAATTATCATACAGTGTCAAACCTGGGAGATTCACATTGGTAAAAAGTGTGTGCATGGCTCTATCATTCTGCCATTGGATCACGGGTGGATTTGAGTAATCACTAGAATCAAGACACAGAAGCGGGCTGGGGCTGGGGCTGGGACTTAGTGGTAGAGCACTCGTCTAGCACGTGCGAGGCCCTGGGTTCGATCCTCAGCACCACATAAAAAAACAAAATAAAGATATTGTGTCCATCTACAACTAAAAAACATTTTTTTAAGTGGTGCTGAGGATCGAACCCAGGCTGCATGCATGCCAGGTGAGCGCGCTACCGCTTGAGCCACATCCCCAGCCCCTTAAATATATTTTTTAAAAGTAAAAAGATACAGAAGGAGCCCACCAGAGGTCTCCCCTTCTTGCTTTGTTTTTGTCCGTTGGCAATGCAGCAGACGGAACCCAGGGCCACAAGGCATGCCAGGCAAGCACTCTGCCTCTGAGCCACCCCAGCCCTTGCTGCCCTTGGCCGTCACTCCTTCCTTCTTGCCCCAGCTTGCAGCACCCACTACTCCACTTTGCTTCTGAGCTTGACCTTTTTCAATTCCACATATGAGATCATGCAGGATTTGCCTCTGCTCGGCTCATTTCACTTAGCATAATGTCCCCCAGGACATTTATGATGTCAAAAATGGCAGGATTTCCTTCTTTCTTAAGGCTGCCTAATGTTCCATTATATATATACACACACATAGGTACATAGATATATTCCAATATATATATAAACATATTCAAGAGGCTGGGCATAGAGCTCAGTTGGTAGAGTGCTTGCCTCACATGCACAAGGCCTTGGGTTCAATCCCCAGCACCACCAAAAAAAAAAAAAGTATATATATATATATATATATATATACTCACCCATATCACCCTTGTATAATGGGACGATTTCTTCCAGATCCCCTTACAGACTAGAAATCTGTAGATGCTCAATGCCCTGTATAAAATGGTGTAGTAGGTGCATGTAGCCCAAGCCCACTCTCTAGTACACTTTGAATACATCTAGATTACTTACAATACCCCATATAACATAAATGATGTCAACAGGTGTTTTATACTGTTAGTTTGTACTCGCTCAGTATAGATGTCTTTTTTTGGAATATTTTGGATCCACTGGGGGTTGACCCTGTGGAGGCGGAAACACAGACACAGAGACCTATTACTTACATATGACACGTCTACCTCTATGTATGTATTTATATACACACCCATACACATGTATTACGTGTACAAAAACAGCACGTTACTATCATGAAAACAGCCATACAGGCCAATAGAATAATACTGCAGTTAACCCACAGTGCAAGTGTGTCTCTGAAATCTTGGTATTTCCTTGGGGTTTATGCAGAGAAGTGGAATTGCTGGGTAGCCCAGGAGTTCCAGTTTCCTGTTTTGGAGAACCATTCATGCTTTTTTCTATAATGGCTGTGCTAACTGGCTGCCCGTCCGAGGTGTGCAAGACTTCCCTGTTATCCACATCTCACCGACGTTTGTCATCATTTGTCTTTTTGATAACGTCCATGCTCACAGAGGTGAGGTGCTATCTCACGGCAGCTGGATTTACATTTCCCAGATGATTAGTTGTCGAACATGTTTTCATATATTATTTGCCATTTGTGTGTCTTTTTTTGGAGAAGGGTCTCTTAAGGTCCTTTGCTGGTTTTTATTTTATTTTTTAAAAATTTTTAATATTTATTTTTCAGTTTTCGGTGGACACAACATCTTTGTTGGTATGTGGTGCTGAGGCTCGAACCCGGGCCGCACGCATGCCAGGCGAGTGTGCTACCACTTGAGCCACATCCCCAGCCCCTTTGCTGGTTTTTAAATTAGATTCCTTGTCTTTGCTGTTGATGTGGGTTTCTTATATATTTTAGATATTGACTCTTCTCTGAGGACTCTTTTCTGACATTTAATAGTCTGTTTTTCTCTCCATTGAGATTGTTTACTTAGCTGTGCAGAAACTTTTCAGTTTGACAGAACTGCTTTTGCTTTCTTCTAAGAATCTTATGGGTTCAGGTCTTGCTTTTAAGTCTTTACTCCATTTTGAATTAATTTTTGCAAGTAGTATAAAATAAGGTTCCAATTTCATTCTGCTGTGTGTATATCAGGTTCCCCCCACCCAATATTTTTTTTTTTGTACTAGGGATTGAATCGAGGGGCATATAATCACTGAGCCCCACCCCCAGCTTTTATTTAGAGACAGGGTCTCTCTGAGTTGCTTAGGGCCTCGATAAGTTGCTGGGGCTGGCTTTGAGCTTGTGATCCTCCTGCCTCAGCCTCCCAAGCCTCTGGGATTACAGACATGTGCCACTGCACCCGGCAGGGCCAGTAAATATTTGTGGGGTATACTGCCAAAGACAAATATTGACAGCTGCTTTTTGCTCAAGTTCAACTCTGAATCAGAGCGGTGTCCATGGGGCCCAGGGCAAGGCATCCCAGACACAACTCAAGACCAAACTCCTGAGTTGGATCCACCCACTAAGGACTGCAGTTCCACCTCTTGCCAGCAGAGGACAACAGTCTCTGTCCATCTTCCAAGGATTCCTGCGAGAGTTCCCTGACATGTGGCCAATTCCCAGAAAAGTCCAGACTAATGAGCCTTCACTGAGGAAAGATCTGAGACTGGGATTCATGGGCAATCACTGCAGGAAGACGGCAGGGGAGAGACGTGAAGAAAGGAAGAGGTCGACCTTCAGCCAGCACAGGTCAAATGCTGGGGAGGGGAGCCATGGAAGGCAGGGCCATGAGGACATCCCACGAGAGAATGGACTGGTCGAAGCTTGACTGGAGACACCCTGACACTCTTCACTTGTCAAACAAGGAGGCCAGAATACAAGATTTCAGAGTTCCTGAGTTCCAGAGTTGGAGCTCCTGAATTCCTTCCTTATACCAAAGCATGCTCACGAAAATCTAGCGGAGAGATGGGCATGTGCAGATACAGCCCTGCAAGAGTCCACAAGGGAGGCCAAGTCTGGGCCAGGTCCCTCTCCAGGGCTTAGGCACTTTTGAGGGGGCGAGGGTAGGGGCAGGGATTGAGCTCAGGGGCACCCAACCACTGAGCCCCATCCCCAGCCCTATTTTGTATTTTATTTAGAGTCAGGGTCTCACTGAGTTGCTTAGTGCCTCGCTTTTGCCGAGGCTGGCTTTGAACTTGTGATCCTCCTGCCTCAGCCTCCTGAGCCGCTGGAATTACAGGCGTGGGCCACTGCACCCCATTCACTTTGATTGTATTCTAAAATCCTCTGCTTCTGTCACCCCTAGGAATCACCTACCACACCCCTAATATCATGCCTGGGCCAAAGCCTGACACATAGTAAATTCTTACTACCAACGTACAGGACAAAGAAGGGAAGGAATTCAAAAACAGAATCCAACATCCCTGGCTCTGTGTGGGCACAGGGCAGAGACGGTGGCACCTTGGAATTGCTGGGACACTTGTCCTAAATAAACCTGCTCCTGCTCTTCAGGAGCTTCAGTGAAGCCCCTCTAACCCCCCTGCCCACCTTCTGATGTATCCTAAGGGAAGGTGAAAGTCGGGGATTCCAGGTGAGGTGGGTCCCCGGCAGATGGGTTCTGGCCTCTGTAGACAGGTAGGCACCTGGAGCAAAAGCAGAAAAATTGCAGAGGAGATGTGAGAGCCCAGGATTAGCGAAGATGGGTTGGTGTCCTAGAAGCCAGTCACGGTGTGTCTCTTCTACCTCCCTCTCCCTTGGCAATGACCTTGTCTCCTCCATTAGAGAGCCACTGGTTCAGCTGGAGCTGGGACTCCGTGGGTCCATTAAGACTCCCCTGGGGCGGACAGGCATCCACAGAGTGCATTAGAGAGAGACAGACTGGCGGGGAGGCGGGGGCCGGCTTGGCAGCCGCCGCCCCCAAAAACCAGCATCTCAGCCTCATTCCTTCCCAAACAGCAACCCCAGCAAATCCCAGGAGTCTGATTAAGGGTGTCTCTGCACCAAGCAAGTCACCGCCCTGTC